GCTTTAATAAGTATTAATTAACCAGTAATACAAAAAATTCTAAATACCATAATGTCAATCACAACAAACGACAAACGACGATTGCAAGTCATCCAGAAAAATGTAGTAAAATTGGAACATTGAATGTAGACCACATATCTGATCATCTTGTATTTGGTGAAATTTCTTTTCAATGTTATAAACCTAAGCCTCGTATATTTCTTTATAGGAACCTAAAAAACAGAAATATTGAGGATATTGACTTGTACAATGTGTCACAAAATTCGCCATAGCTCCGATATAAATAATAAGTTCGACTTTCTAATGCGAAATATTGTTGAAATTTTTACTAAGCGCGCCCCTCTTCGCGAGGCTCGTATAACAAAACCAATTGCCTCATGGTTAACTTCAAACCTAAAAATGATTATGAAACACAGAGGCATGGGTACGTTACAGACAGCTCCGCAATTTTACAATGGGAAAAAACAACGTATCTAGAATTTTGCGATCAAACAAGTTCTAAAAGCTCTAAAAGACATGAAAATTCAGAAAAATAAGATAACCTTAGAAATATTGTACGACCAAAAATATAGTGCATTTATTGCTTTGGCGTTTTAAGTATTTTACAGTGCCGCAGACCTTTGACATCCAGGAAATATTTTTGCACATGCATTTAGAAATTTTATTATTATCACTACCAAAGGACATAAAACCGTAGAAATCGCTAATTTATGTGTAAAGGAAAGATCTCAAAAGTTAAGAAAAGCTGTACATTAATTTGTATCATATTTTCAGGTAAATCCAATCTGAATCAAAAATTTCTATTGTCCGTTGGCAAGACAATTCATTTGTAACTATGGCAAGTAATGTTTCTAGTGTAGATCCTGTCCAAAATGTAAAACACTGTAATAGAAAAGAACGGAAATATGTAAATATACCTTATGTAATTGCCCAATACAATAGATATATGGGTGGGGTAGATTTACATGACAACGGAATTGCTAATTACAGGTGCCAAGTATTTGGAAAAAAATGGTGGTGGCCTTTATTTTGTAACTCACTGGATAGATTAGTAGTGAATGCATGGAAATTGTATAATATTGTCAACCAACAAAAGATTTCCCAGGTAGATTTTAAATCTTACATTGCTTGGCGACTTTTAAAAACTGATAAAACAATTACCCAAAGAAATCTTGCACCTGCCATAGATGAAATGCGTTATGATAATCAACTTCACCTCATGATTGTTCATGCTAATAAAGCCCGAGATGTAGAATCTGCCACAGCCACACAATTTACGTTTGCATTAAGTGTAATGTGCATTTACATACTTCATGCTTTGTAAAATATCATCAAAAATGAAACCGGGGGTTACCAGTGGTGTCATATGTCGCTAAATTAGATTTGCTGAAAGAACGTTAAATTCTCTGCAGTGGTGTCTATATAAACGGCTGAAGAAAGTATTGTTAAAAAATCAGCTCTGGACATTCTAGAAATATATCGGGGGTACCACAAGGCTCAGTATTGGGACTATTACTATTTTTGATTTATACGGCGGATCTTGTGAGGTGAGATTGCACAGTGCCAGTTTTTTGCTGACGATACATAATTGTGTTGCAGTTTTGAGCGCACCAATTGTGATTATACAGCGAACATCAATTTAGAAAATATATATCAAAGTGTAGTGTCGTTGTTTTTGCTCTTGAAAGAAAGTCAACATCAAGTACAGAACTCAATTATATGTATACATGAACCTTTTCAAGTTGTAGAGTCTGCTATATGAGTCTGAGATGGCTGTATTCGAATAAAGAAGTATTGTCGTATGACGTGAAAATACAGTTACGTAAGAGTCTTGTTCTCTTTCGTTCGTTTTAATGCTGTCCTGTGTGAATACTTGTCGCTTTATTTCTAACTTACACAGGTTTGACCATATATCCTGAGCATTCATGAAATTACATTGGTTGAAAATAAAAAATGTTTTCAACCACAACTTTCTACGCTATCTGCTAGCATTCCTAAATTTTTGGATGACAAATAAATATTTAGGAAATCAATTCATGCCCTGAAACTGAGACCCCGCTTACTATGCCGTTACATAGAACTCCTTAGATAATGTTATCAAATCAAAGTTTCTGCTCCATGCAAAACTTTTAGCTTTCATATTTATAGGGGATTCCATTTAAAAATAAAAAAAATGCTACTGTTTCTCATTTGTTTTCTTTTACAGATCTAAAAGATAATACGGCAGAAAGTGTAAGTGAAAAGTTTTTCACAGTGACTTCCGTTAACCCCTGTAGGTGGATACGAAAATTAAAAAAAATGACCCTTGAATCACGGCATCAAAATTTTTCGAAAATAAAAAACTTGTCTTTAATTTTTAAAACATAGAGAAGCGTTCTGGTAGTATCGCCATATTTTCCAAAAATATTTTAATTTTAACCGTGGCGAGTTTTGAGAAAATAATACAGAAGATTAAAAGCGGAAAATTTCACGACACTTTATCTACACGAAGGATTGCGGATCAATTTGTCATTACTAACACTCCAATTTTAATTGTAGCCATTAATTTATGTTTTCCGGATTCGTCTTTAATCGTTATATAAAATACTATGCCTATCTCTAATATAGTCGGGGCTGGGATAAAACCGTGCTGGTTGAAGTACTGAAAGGTTCTTTTATTGTTTTTGTTTCAATTTTTAGAAAATTATTTATTAAATATTAACTTACTCTATATGTTACTTTATACAGGGTGTTTCAAAAGGGGCGTTAGAATATCAGTATATTATTTTAAAATATTTCGATTTGTCACATAAAAATATGCCCTAAGGTTCAAACTTCGGGGGACAGGGTGATAAAAGTAATGTTATTTATTCGTTTTTTATTACTTACGTTTGTAATTTACATTATACGTTACATTATACAGGGTGTTTCAATAGAAATGGGCCTTAGAATATCAGCATATTCTTTGTGCTAAAATATTTGGATTTATCACATAAAGATATGCCCTAAGTTTCAAACTTCTGGGGACACAGGGTAATAAGAGTATTTTTTTTTAGTACTTACGTTCGTAATTTATATTATACGTTACTTTGTACAGTGTGTTTCAATAGGAATGGGCCTTAGAATACTAGTATAGTCTTTGTGCTAAAATATTTCGATTTGTCACATAAAAATATGGTCAAAACTTCCGGGGATACAGGGCAACAAAAGTAATTTTATTTTTTCGTTTTTCATTACTTAAATAATTTTAAAAATGTAGACGGAAAAATTCAAGTGTAATCAGATTTCTTCAAGAAACATTAACCAACTTTTTAATGATACAGAATGTATAGGGGAACAGTTTCCATTGGTAAATGGTTTGCTTAATCAAGAAGAAAAAGTATTTCTAAAAATTGTCCAAATAATCAATTATGTCTCAATATTCGTCGTGTTGCCTTTGCATGGACCCTCCCCAATAAAACTTTAGCGATGTTACTATTAACATAACATTTATTTATACTTCAGCTACTAAGCAGGGATGGGCCAGATATATTTCTTTCTCTCTGATATATTTCTTGAGTGTTGATCATTTGGAGCAGTGTTGAATAATCGTTTTCACTGTGCGTTTCGCTTGATGCAAAACAGGTTGTGAATAATGGGTATGAAACTTTAATCAGTACGAAAAGAAATAAACCGTATAGACAATAGTGATCAGGACCTCATAAGAAGGAAAATATATGGCCTTCATCAAAGCGAAGTTGTTCCCACCTTGGATAAACTGAAAAAAAGAAGCTAAAAGAAGATGAAATCAATATAAATATAAGCCGTGCCACCCTCCGTAGAGTTCTTGGTAACATCCATAAGTCACCTTGATGAAATATGAAAACGCATCACCATAATATACAAACTACTGGCTATTGTCTGCAAAGAATATTAATGGTTCTACCTTCGATTATCGTAAGGATAATTACACCACCACAACCCGTAATAAGGATGCATCCTGATCGTGTACAACTTCATCAAGTACTCAATGAAAGTGTGATGCACAGGAAAGAATTTTTGGGCAAGATGATTTTTTTGAATATGTATTATTTACGGATGAATCGACATTCCATCAAAACGGTTGTGTTTTATGATGGTGCATAGTCGGGAAAAATGATAATAGGAGATAACGTTGTAGGGACTCATTGTTTTGAAAATGCAGTGAAGGGGACGTTTTAGAGCAGAATTTGCAAAATATAATAAGAAATATTCCAAAACGAAGTGTACTTAAATAATTCATTTTCTCAACGGTGGATAGGAATCTATGGCCACCTGGATCTTCAAAGTGTTAGTCATGAAATGCTAGGCATGGGAGATATTTCGAGCAATAAATAAAGTGGAACTTAATTAAACAATTGCTTATTGGTTGGCAGTTTTGTTCTTGGTTTTTTAAGTGTTTTTTTTTCCGGAACTTTTAGCAATATTAAATTGCATTTTTAATATTATCCCATGCGTAAAATATTGTTTTTCCGTATCATACTAAATTCATCTTTGTAGACTGTTCACCTTCATGTAATATTCATTTTGTTTTCAATCTTTTGCGATATTTCCGCAGTTTTTGAAAATTTTCAGTTTCTGTATGCGGGAATGCTAAATAAAATTAAAGTAATTAATGGAAGTATCATAAACAAGGTGTTCCATTTGATTTTTTTTTGCGAAAATTTATATTTTTCATTTTGACTCACCCTATGGACCATAACAACCCTATATACAATTAGTGATTGAGCATAAAGGAATTAAATCTGATTTCCCACATATTTATGAATCACCCTGTATATCGGTGCTTACGATTTCTTCCCGAAACCAATAATAAACTAGATATATTGCTTTAACCCGCTATTTGGACGCCCTGTATAAAAATAACTAAGTAAAATATCGACAGTTTTTTTTTAATCCTCCACATCCTGTATATACGGGTCCACATTGATAAAAACTTTTTTTTTCCATTAAATCATCCTTAGTGATCGGAATTTTATTATGAAACAATAGGCCCTACGCTTCCGACGCAACGGTACCAACCTTTCAGCACGTCACACCGAAATTGAACAAAATAACCGCTCCTGTCGCTAAAATCAAAATCACATGTCACTGCTGTACACCAGCCCGTATTGTTCGTGGCACTACCACGCCCTGGCCTGCAGAGGTAAATAGGCCCCGCATTGCTGCTGGTAATTGCTGGCCTGTTGCCGGCCGTAGGCCATGGCGAGGCTCCCGTTGGCCATGCACTGTGCTTGGGATTGGGCCGCCTGACAGGCCGGAGACTGTTGCGTCCGAGATGTGTCTGAAGTGGCCTGACCGGAAGCGGAAGTCCCGGACTGGTTGGTGCCGCCGGAACACGGTTTGCCGTCTTTGACTAGTACCGGAACTGCGACCCGTCTCGGCGAACTGGACGACTGCAAAGAACTCGGTGCAATGAGGCGGTACCGAAATGAAGTGACGATTTATGTTGTCTGTTTCAGAGTAAAATAAGCAACATTTTGTCACTAGTACAACGCGATGCAAGTACAGTGAGTTCAATTTATCTTGATTACATTTTAATTGGCTGTAAACTTTTATGCTTTTAGAGATATCGAGGTAAACAAAAAAACGAAATTCAAGGTTAGTAGCCAATTTTTTTCCAGGCGGCGTATAAAACAAAACACTACGGGGGCTACTTTTTATATTTCGGGATTTGTAATTAAAAACTATAATATGACTTTATTTTTTCTCAAAATATTCTTCTGCATTCGATAAAACCAATCATCGAAGCACTTTTTCCACGTCGAGTCTGGCACCTCCGAAATATGCTTTTTAAACGCATCAGTCGCTTCCTCTGGTGTCAAAAATCGTTGCCCAAGTAATTTAAATTAAAAAAAATTAATAAAAAATGCCATTAGGTGCCATATCAAAACTCTATGCTGGATGGCTCATCAAATCAACGTTTTTAACGCTCAAAAAGTTCTTTGTTTGCACTGATCGGTGAGACCTAGCTAGCTGTCGTCGTGGAGAGTGATTCGTCTTCGGCGGTTAGTTTTTCTAATTTCTTCGGCAAATGGTTGCCAATTTTCCTGAAAAAACAGGTTACCATTTGTTCGAGTTGCTTCGCGCACGAACAATTTTTATCTCATTTTTGAAAGACGGACACAATCGACTGCTGCTTCACTTTCAGGTTCCATGATTCATCACCCGTCACGATATCATAGACGTGTTTGGAAGCACCGAGATCGTATTTTTTTTAGCATTTCCTTCGACCAATCAACACGAACCTTTTTTTGAGCTGATGTCAAATTATGTGGAATCTAACGCTAACAATTTTTTTAGCTTCCAAATGTTCCTAAAAATTGTATGTATGCTGGTCCCACTAATACCCGAAGATACCTCAATATCATGGTAAGTCACATGACGATCATGCAAAGTCAGTTTCCGCACTGCATCAATGTTTTCTTGGACAACCATCGAATTTGGACGACCTTCACGAAATTCATCCTTAAGAAAACTACTACCACGACTGAAATCTGGAAACCAGCGATAAACAGTACTCCTAGATGGTGCTTTAACTCCAAAAGTCGAATTAAGTTCATCGATGCATTTGTTTGAGTTAGTTCACGTCTAAAATTATTGCACGAAGATGCTTCCGATTAAGTTCCATTTTTACGGTGAATTTTCTTTTAATGTATCACAAAAAACACAAACATCATTCTTTCGCCAAAACCTAACCTCAAAATGCCAAACTTCGCTATTAAAAGGTTAGTCGCCAGATGGCAGGACTAGTTTACGAAAATCCCGATAAAAGGCATCCCTCGTATTACTGTTTATGTTTATAAGCCTGCATCATATTTTTTAAATGGAACACCCTATATATTATGTATGTGTTTAATAGAATATCTAATTCCGATTATAATGATGTAACACACTTTATATTTTAGGCCAAAAAAAATGTACCCAAAAACTAACGGTCGAAGAAAAAGTATAGTATGCAAGACGTTCGGTAAACTTTTTAACTCACTCGTTTATTAAACACTCGCTCCGCTCATGTCAAATAAACTCGTGAGTCAAATGCCGTTTACCCCACTTGTTGCGTAATTATAATTAAACTACCGACCATAAACAAATCGACAAATCTAACGTTAAAATACTTACGACGATTCAAAGCAATTTGGGACAGTGATTGAGGATTGTCATTTTTTTTTGTAAAATAGTTTGTACTACGGTTGCAACTTTTCTTCGTGTTTCGAAGGCAACTTATTCAAATTCACTTAGGGAAGTAGGAATAAGAACCTCTTTTGCATTGTTTCGACGTGGTTTTGTTGTGCACTAGCTTACTTAAGTATATTTCGAACAAATGCATTGTAGAGTATTTCTAGGGTTTTTACTTTGGTAAACATGAACGAGTATCTAATTATAAATCCTAATATTCTATATTAATTGTTTGCACGTGACAATTCGTTAAACATGGCATATTAAGTATTAAAACAACCATATAATAACAACAAATAACAACATACAGGGTAAACGTGGTTAAATAATGGTAGTAACAAAAATGCATGGAGGCCAAAGAAAAAGAAAAAAAAACTAATAAAAAAAAAGAAACAAAATAACATAACAACATAGAACTAACCCACAATATTCTAGAAAATAGACGCAAGTCTCTAAAGAATAGGAAAAGCCCTCGACCAGACAAGATCACCAACGAAATGCCTAGATACGAAGGGAGAAAACTACAGAATGAAATGCTCACCTTTTTAAGAACATCATTGAAGAACAAAAATACCGAACGATTGGAAGAACAGCACGACAATACCCATCTTCAAAAATATTAATAGCATCCTCAAAGCATTCACAAAAATTATACTGGTAAAAGTCACCAAAGAGAAGAATAAGAAGGTTTTCGAAGGCACCATTGACTCAATACTTATTGTCAAACAAATATTCAACAAATTCAATAAACCTGCGTATATGTGTTTGGTCGATATGACCAAGGCTTTCGATAGAGTGCGTTTGAAGGATGTCCTAGAAATCATGAGAACGGAAGGTTTGAACCATTAATGGACATACGACAACTGAAGATATAAATATAATCACAAGAATTAGACAAGGCGATTCACTCAGCCCATACACATTCAATTTATTGATGGATAAAATAATAGAAAATTTTCCTGGATTTAAAATGAGAAACACATTCTTCCTACGCAGACGATGCTGCTCTTATTGCAGATTCTGACTACAAAGACTACTATTTTAACACTAAAGCAACAGAATTGAACATGCTCATCAACACCGAGAAGGCTAAATGCTTAGTAACATCGAAAGGACCTATAAAATGTAAGCTGGAAATGGACGAGTAACGGAAGTCTTTCACAAAGAAGTAAGAGAGCAAACAATGAAAGCGGCTCGAAAAGCGGGATGTCTGAAAGAAATTGTATGGAAGAACAAATACTTTAATACGGAGAGCAAAATCAAGATATATAAAACGGCTATAAAACGCGTTATAACATACGCAGCAGAAATAAGAGTAGATACAAACATAACTCTACAATTGATGAGAACAGTTGAAACGAAAATACTAAGAACTATACGGGGTAAAACTTTGTATGACAGAATACGGAATGAGGTCATCAGACAACAGTGCGGAATACAAGACATGGGAAGGTAGGTGAGATTTTGGAACAAACACATAAAAAGAATGTAAGATCCCAGACTCGTCAAGAACGCAAAAATGAACAACGCAGTAAGAAAAAGATCTCAAGGAAGACCGCCAAAACGGTGGCGAGAATGCTGGACCTCGTCTTCCGGGGAAGACGTGTTAGCAATGAAGAAGAAGAAGTAGAATAAAACTAATAATAAATAATTAAATAAAAATAAATAAATAATACTAATAATAAATGAGGTTCTATAAGATTATCTCCTATAGTCCCTGGCCATCAATTTAAAGAAAACCGGCGTTGAGGTTTTCCTTCAATTTTTGCATGTGGATTTTCAATGTTCCACTGAAGCATTGTAAATTTTCGAAAGAAAATTTACAATGCCATCACGACTGAATGCAGCCTCGTCAGTGAACAAAATGGCATTTCAGAATTAAAATTTCATTCCACAAAAATTACTCTCAATTGCTCAAGGGCCGAAGATCATTTTCTTATAAAACTTCGCAAACTGTAGAGCAAGCAATTCTTTGACGAGCAAGTTTTTTCGTACTCGTTTTGAAGTATTCTTTCTTCTCATGGAGCGGTTCTTTTATACCTCGATCTCTATTTATTCATATTATAAGATTTGAATGATCCTCCTTCATCAAGTCTTCTGTGAATGTTGATGAATCTCTTAGCAGATGGAACGTTTCTATTGGGATAAACCTCGATATAAAGTCGTCGCGCTTGATCTGCATTTCCATTTGCTCTTCCGTAACAAAAATGCACATCGCGATATTCAGTATTTGAATATTCCTGTTGGGCCATTACAAATCCTGTTAGGTAAAATCATATTTTTCATGATTTGTAATTCTGCTCAAGGAAATAATAATAATAATAATAAATTGCCTTTATTGTTGTATGTTGTTATATACAAATATACAGTGAAGAGGCGAAGCCTAGCAAAAGCTACTCCATTTAACCTCTTAAATGTTTATATTGAAAACTAAATAGGGAGTTATAAATACATCGATAAATTAAATATAGTATAATGGACAAATGTAATAGTAGTATGGAACAATAGAAAGTTAATAAAAGTAAAAATAAAAAGAATAACATTGAAAATCAAATTATTTGAGAAGTTAGCGGCTTCAACCTGAAATATTTCTTTTAGAATTTAACTGAAAGTGATTTTACTGATTCGGGTATACTATTACAAATTACAACAGCGTTATAAGAAAATGATCTGCGGAACAAAGATAAACGATATCGTGGTTGTGAGAGTCTGTAGAAGTGAATTACAACCACTTATTGAACATTACGAAACTGTAATCTAGCTCGTAAGTAGAACGGATTGGATGTGCTAATAATTTGTAAAACTATGGAAGCCAGAAATTACTGTTAATTTTTAGCCAGTTAAGTTCCTGGATTTTGTGGGAGATCCTATCAAATTTACGCAAGACGAAAATAAATCTGCAACAGCTGTATTATTGGGTTGTTCGGAAAGTCATTTCGTTTTTTTTGGGGAACATGAAAGACAGTTTTCGTATAATGAGTAAATATTTTATTAAATTATATATTGGCCATTCTGGTCCGACACCTTTTGCCATCTTTCTGGCAGTAACATAATTCCCCTCTCATAAAAGTTTTGGTCCTTGCTGGCAAAAAACTGGTTCAGGTGGTTTTTGACATCTTCATTTGAGGTAAAGGTTTTGCCAACCAAAAAATTTTGCAGGGACCGGAACAAATAGTAGTCGGAAGGCGCCAGATCTGAAGAATATGGTGGATGTTGCAATACGTCCCATTCAAGCTGTAAAAGTTTTTGGCGAATGACCAAACTTGTGTGAGGTCTCGCATTATCCTGGTGGAACACTACACCCTTCCTGTTGATTAATTCGGGCCTCTTCTCTTTAAGTGAATCATTCAATTTGTCCAGTTGATGACAATAGACTTCTGAATTAATCGTTGTATTGTCCGGCAACAGCTCAAAAAAAATGATTCCTTTGACATCCCACCAAACGGAGAGCATCACCTTTTTTTGGTGAATGTTGGCTTTTGACACGCTTTGAGCCGGTTCACCTTTTCTGCTCCATGACCTCTTGCGTTTAACATTGTTGTATACAACACATTTTTCGTCCCCAGTAATAATCCGCTTCAAAAATGGATCATTTTCTTGACGTTTGAGGAGCGAATCACACACGTCAAAGCGACCACACAAATTTCGCTCCGTAAGGACATGGGGCACCCACACATCGAGCTTCGAGGTTAAGCCCATGCCGTTCAAATGGCCATAAACAGTCGAATTCGACAAATTTAATCTCTCACCGATCTCTCGTGTGGTTATTCGCCGATTTGCATCAACTAATGCCTTTATCGCATCTTTGTCAGCTTCGACCGGCCTTCCAGACCGTGGTGCATCTTCGACATCAAAATTGCCGGATCGAAATTTTGCAAACCAGTTCTGGCACTGGCGTACTGTTAACACGCCTTCTCCATACACATCCGTCAAATTTTTTCTCTCTTGGACAGCATTTTTACCTTTTCTGAAGTAAAAAAGTAAAATATGACGAAAATGCTGCTTATTTCTCTCCATATTAAAAAGGGCACCAACCAAAAACTACTGCGTAGAATTAATAGAACTTTTTCACACACAAGCCTTGCAATATCAGCTCTCAAGACATATAATGGTTATGCGGCTTAAGTATAAAGTTGGTTTCGAAAAAACGTAATTAAGTTCTCTGACGGGAAAAAACGAAATGACTTTCCGAACAACCTTATACATTTTTTGCGATCTATATTTATATATGTGCCATTATGCAGAATAAAAAAAAATGTTCTAGGTAAAGTGCCCTCCGGTGACAGATTTCTGAAACATTTTTATTCTGTAACGATAACTGCGTTGAAAATAAAACTCAAAAAATGAATTTTATTTTTTCCGAACACCCCGTATAACAATTGTTCTCAAATAATGAGCAAGAATCAAGTGCCTTTCCATTCAACGATCACTCAATCGACGTAATTGAATCAAATCGTATAAATTATCATGTTCCTCCGCGACTATTCCGACGGATGTGCGCGTTTGAGGTTCGTCAACGGTGGCGGGACATCCATCTTTTAATTCGACTGTTGCTAAACTTGCGTAATTCTTGTGCAATATTTTAAGTTTAATCGAACGGCGGTCCATTTGTGCATGTGGGCGGTATACAGTATGTTCAAGATAAGAGAGATAAGAAGTCACTTTGTTATCGACTTTATTTTTTCATATGATCCGTGAAAAAACTACAGCGTGTATAATAATAATAATATACTTTATTCGGGAAGCTTCGGCAAAGACAATTACAAGAAAAGGCAACCGAAGTAGCACATAAATTGTGGTATCCGAATAAATAGTTCCACAGGGTGTTCGGAAATTGAGTCATGCAACAAAAAATCGAAATCGAATTCGAAATATTTTCCCAGTTATAGCTTGTCAAAATTAATTATTTATTATTTATTAAGTCATTATCACAATCCGTTAAAAATTAACCTCTATTAAAAGAGCTTATTTTCCAATTGCTACGGAAGACTTGGTGAAAGAGGATCAATAAAAGGAGACCAAGGTATAAAAAGAACCGCTGCAAGAGAAGAAAGAACACTTCAAAACGTGGAGGCTGACCCGTCAACGAGTACAAGAAAACTGGCTGCTCAGGAAAGAATTGCTTGCTCTACAATTGGGAAAGTTTTGCATGATCTGCGGCCCTTTGATGTTCAAAGCAACTTTAGCGCCGGAGTTCTTTAAATGCATGGGCAGGGATTACAGGAGATAATCTTATAGGACCTCATTTCTTTAACGAATCGCTTAACGGGGTATTTGCAAATTCTCCAAGAGGAACTACCACCTTGACTGGAGGAGGTATCCTTGTAGTGGAGACAAAATATGTGATTCAAGCAAGATGGTGCTCCACCCCATTTTACATTGGCTGTACGAAGGTATTTAAATAGGTCGGGGCGGACCTCTAGCTCGGCCGTCTCGCTCCCCAGACCTTAATCCAATGGACTTAAAGTCTTTACTGTAGTCTATGAAACACCTATAACATGATAAATAAGAACTAAAAGTTCAGATCACCGTGTCCTTATCAAATGTAATATTTACAAACTACCTTGTACTATATATTCCGAAAAATGACCATAAAACCTTAATTAATGTTGTTGTGAGAATTTAAGTTCAAGAAAGGAGAGGTACTTAAATCTAATTGATCGTTAAGCAATACACTTGAATGTCTCATTTTGTTAATCTCCATGGCTTCCAATAAATTTAATTTTCTACTTTTTGTGGCTGTATGTAAAGTATCGAAATTGTCGTAAAAAATGTGTTATTCTGTGTTTAAGTGTGTAGCATAATTAGAATCTAAACTATTGTTTTTAAACGCTCTTTTATGTTCGTTAATGCGTTTCATGACCTGTTTATTAAATATAAATTTTAAGACAAGATCCACATTTCAACCTGTAGACACCTGATTTTTGGGATTTTGGACATTTCGTTTTATTGTTTTTTAAATATTTTCCTATTGTGTTGTTAGTTCTGAAAGCTATTTTTAAACCACATTTTCACAAATGTTTTGAAACTTTTTCACTATGTTTTTGAATTTAATGGACAGATTTATATCTCTAAAGAAGGTTTGATTATGGGAAACCCACTTAGTCCTTTGTTAGCCGAGATTATTATGGATAATTTGGAAAATATCATACTAGAACATCCTTTAAGTAAAAGTTTTTATGGTGGTATAGATACGTGGATGATATCTTTGCTTGCTTTGTTGGAACGGACAGACAATTGAATTCTTTTTTAAATTACATTAATTCATTACATAATCGTATAAAATTCACTATCAAGATTGAACAGGATAAGTCTATTAATTTTTTAGACTTAACTATAACAAAAGCGCAAAACAAATTAGATTTTTCAATATATCATAAACCATCACACACGGACAGAGTCATACATAACAGCTCAAATCACCCTTATACACACAAAATGGCTGCATTTAACTCTTTTACTTCTTAATACGCCACTCTCAACAGAAAATTACAACAATGAACTTAATATCATTAAACAAATAGCACTGAACAACGGCTACAATCCGTCCATTATAGATAAAATTATAAATAAAAAACAAATACAGACAACACTAAACTCTATTTTCAGAAACGTACACGAACAATTTACAACAATTACATACATAGGAGAAAGTAGTCAAAAAGTTTCAAAACATAAAAAATAGCTGTCAGAACTAACAACACAATAGGAAAACATTTAAAAAACAATAAAACGGCATGTCCAAAATCCCAAAAATCAGGTGTCTAGAGGTTGAAATGTGGATCTTGTCCTAAAATTTATATTGGACAAACAGGTAGATCCTTCAAGAAACGCATTAACGAACATATAAGAGCGTTTAAAAACAATAGTCTAGATTCTAATTATGCTACACACTTAAACACAGAAAAACACATTTTTGACGACAATTTTGATATTTTACATACAGCCACAAAAAGTTGAACATTAAATTTATTGGAAGTCATGGAGATTAACAAAATGAGACATTCAATAAGGTTTTATGGTCATTTTTCTCTATATATAGTAGAAAATATTACATTTGATAAGGACACGGTGTTGTCGAAACAATTGTCAATGTCATAATATATAATTTCGTGAAAATCTGAACTTTTAGTTCTTATTTATTTTGATAAATGGATTTTCATCAAGTAAAAGCCACCTCAGTTCAACCTGGAACAGATATCAATGATCTACGACAAAAAATAATAAACGCTTGCGAAATCTTTAGAAATAGGCTAGGCGTATTTTTTAAAAATGTATAAGAAAATGTTTTGAAATAAACGAAGCAAATTTTGAAAGGAATTGCAATTAGTGTTGTATACTGTTTAATTTCCGATTATTATTAATAATTTTTTATTTTCGAAAATGCTAAATGTATTCGTGTTACTTAAATTAAACACGTTATAGCATTGACTGACCATTGACCATTGACCAATTTCTCATTTTTTTAATTTGTAGCATACTGTTGTGAAAAATTTACAATACGCTCTAGAAACTGATATATTTTATTAAAGTACCTTATAATTGTTGACGAGACGGATTAATAAAACATTTTCAAATGTGTTTAAACACGGTTATAAATGAATATTTTGAAAACTATTTAATCTTGAGATAAAAATTTATTTTAATGACACTTACATAAAATTCATTGAAACAGCTAATAAAATAAAAAGCGCTTTAAGTAGCAATTTTATCTTGTGCGACATTCCTGTGAACAATGAACAATTAACAGAGATTTTGGTGAAAATTTAATTTATACCCGCACCATTTCTACTCCATTTATTGCCATTTATCTCTATATGTCAGATTCACAGAATTTCCAAGAAACTGGCTATTTTGTTTAGCTATAGTTATAATGTTTTGTCGGTTGATTGCTTCTTTGAAATGTAGTAAACGTTAACATTTTTTATCCAGCCCTTTTAAAAATCACCACATTCAAAATAAGTTTTTTTTTGACAGAATTTTAATTGGGATATTGAAAATGGATCCAAAGGAACGCAAAATTATTTATCGGACCTTCCACGTTTCCGCACAATGAAACAAAAACCACTTTCACCTTCATGCACCCAAACCCGAAGTCAAACCACATCAGATTAAGGCGTAATCCATTATAACAGTTTTTCGCTACGATAACTCACTAATGAATGGGATTTTTTTTGTTGTTGTAGGATCGGTATTTGGAAAAGATTTTCTTACCTGGTTGTGTTGGTTTTGTTCAGCCATGGCCTTTTCTTTGGCTTGCCTCTTGCACTTGTACCTGTGGTTTTGAAACCAGATTTTCACCTGCAACAACAAGAATTTACCGCATTAAAGGGCGCTTACGAAAACACTTACAGGGTCGAATTGAGTGGAATTTTAACGGGAGCTTTAAAAAAAAAGCACTTTCACAATTGTTTTTTGGTAGCCGATAATCTTTTGATATGAATGAATGCTAGTTTTATTCCAGTTCACAGATTAATGATTCACAAGTGCTATAAATGAAACAATTTTATATAAAATCGGCTTTAAGACTTGTCCAAAAAATATCAAAAATACTCACAAAATGTCACGTGACACTCACAAAATAATAACTGCATTATTTTAAACGCTAACAAAAGCTAGCCAAAACTAACCAAAACTAATAAACAATAAAACACCTTTCGATATCTTACAGTTAATAATAATTAAATGTTATAATACGAGGTGTGTTATATATACAGGGTGCTTCAAAAAAATGTATACACACTTTGAACTTCCATAGAAAATTTATTTACCGTTCTACAAAGTTAAATTTCAGGAAAATAGAAAGCTGAAAGTCCAATGTAAATGAAACATAAATAACAAATGTTAATACTGTTCAAATTGGTGACCTGCAGCATCAATACAATTCTGAGTACGAGTCACCACTGATTCTGTACATCGTATCAAAACGTCCAATGAGATTTCTCTACACACTGCTTGAATCTCATTCCAAAGAATGTCTAGGTTACGTGGTTTACGTTTGTACACCTCATCTTTTACTGTGCCCCACAAGAAGAAATCCAGTGGTGTAAGGTCTGGAGAGCGTGCTGGAAACTCGATTGGCCCCCTGCGTCCTATCCACCGACCCGACAAATTTTGATCCAGGTAAGCTCGTACGTCCCTGTGATAGTGCGGCGGAGCACCATCTTGTTGAAAATAAAAATGATCATTACCGTATAATGCACGAATGGCAGGAAATATGCAATCAGCAAGCATTGTTAAGTAATTAATACCAGTTACAGTGCCTTCAAATCGAAAAGGTCCAATGAGTCCCCTTGAAGACAAACCGCAGCACACATTTACACCAGGCAAATTTACAGCTTTTTCAATTGTAATGTGAGGATTTTCTTCACCCCAGTAAACACAATTGTGCCTATTGACAGTTCCATTAAGTTTGAATTGGGCTTCATCCGACCAAATGATGCTACCCATAAATCCCGGTTCACGTATCACCATCTCCTGAATCCATTCACAAAATTGCAACCTTCGATCTGGATCGTCGTCATTTAGCTGTTGCACCAGCCTTGGAATGTAAACACGATACTTGCCTCTCTTCAGAATGCGTAGCACGCTGCTAGCACTTACATCACTTTCACGTGCCCCTTGCCTTGAAGATTTGTTAGGAGAGCGTTGAAACAGTTCCAAGACTGCCGTTGATGACTCATCACTTGTAGCTGTTCGAGGCCGACCTGAATGACCTTTATGCACATCACACACTGTTCCATGAACTTCGAATTTGTCTCGTATGCGTGTAATTGTTAATCTTGAAGGTGGTTCTGTATCATACTCCCTTCTCCACTGTCTTTGAACTTCATTTACATTCTCAAACTTCCAGTACCACTTAATAACCTGCTTACGTTCTTCAAAACTCAAACGTACGTTCCCCATGTAATATTACAAATTCCAACTGATAATATAACATAGAGGGACGATTATGCTGGCACCTACTGCACCTGCTGACATATATATATATATATATATATATATATATATATATATATATATATATATATATATATATATATATATATATATATATGTATATAATGTAATTCCTTTAAATGGTTATTAACAATTATCCCAAAAACTTAATTAATAATGTCTATTGTAAACGTACCAACAAATTTCATAATAGCGTAAACAAAAACCAACATCAAAATCCTCAAAGCAAATATATATCGCTACCATATATAGCTGGATTATCAGAAAAACCCCAAAAAATTTTCATAGAAAACAAAATTGAAATATTGAACTGAGGTAGCTTTTACTTGATGAAAATCCATTTATCAAAATAAATAAGTCGGAGTTCAACAAGCGAACGGATGATATCCCGGAATATAGTGTCATTATATATATATATATATATATATATATATATATATATATATATATATATATATATATATATATATATATATATATATATATATATATATATATATATATATATATATATATATATATATATATATATATATATATATATATATATATATATATATATATATATATATATATATATATATATATATATATATATATATATATATATATAAATATATATATATATATATATATATATATATATATATATATATATATATATATATATATATATATATATATATATATATATATATATATATATATATATATATATATATATTATTGTTGGGGATTATGATGTAATTAATGTTATTAGAAAATTAAATTTAATTAAAATAAAAAAAATAGGAACTTTCTTTGGGGCTTTAACATTTTCGTCCTCCAAGAAGTTGTTCAAAAAAATTTTTTTTTTGTTTCTTTGCTGCGGCAGCCCAAACTTTGACATATTTAAAAACCTACTAAATACTTTTTTCGGTCGACCTAATAGGTTCTCAATATTTCACGAGTTCAAAAACAATTATTGGCGGCTAATTTTATTCACGTTTTCCAACAATTGGTTCGACAATCTTTGTTGGCGAGATAATTCCGGCTTTAAAGTTAGCTCCTCCCATCTTCATGTTCTTTATAATTTAAAACAAATAATATGATACTGTTGCATTCAATTCTTATATTAACATGAGAGCTAATCTACAATTAGTATGTTTTTATATTATTTCGTTACTTTAATTTGCTGCATTTAAGATTTGAATTTAACTCCATTTTTTATCGTTACTTTTCTCTTGAACTTAACACATATCGTACTGTAAAATCGACGAAATAAACTAGTTTGGAAGCAAACTAAAATCAATGAGGTACGGATCTGTATGTTTGCCTAACGGGATATTTTTGTTGGACGGACGAAGAATTTCGGGATTGTTGTTTGAAATAACATACGTTACGAAGTCGTTGATTAAACCGGTGTGATGCTAATATTATCTTTTCCGGTTGTTGATAGCAGAAGTGAATGTCACCTTAAGTTGAAAAGTTTACTGGCGTATATTCGCTGACCACTGTTTGTTGCACTAACTCCTCTGTTGTTATTAAGGAACAAATGAACTGCCCAAAACTATCGAGGCTACATAGACGCAAAGAAATAAAAACGAAATAAAATAATTAAATTAATTAACAAAAATATATTAATTTTTGTTTCCGTCTTCCTAATTGATAGGTAGTTTTTTTCTATGTAGGTATATTTTTTTGGTGGTCAATTTAATGTGCAACATAAGAGATTTTTTTTACCCACTGCACAACTAAAATACTAAAAACTGAAACTACGCATCAACAGGCGAATAAAGTTTGGTTTATAGTTGATTTTCTTCATTACATTGTACGATTGTACAGTCAAAAAACTCTATTTGCTTCAAATGAGTTAAAATCCTACTAATAGTTGAATCGTACCATATAAAATGTGACTCTGCTTTCTCAGATAATGTTAACTGTCTTGGAAGAGGCATTTGATATAAAACAATAACAGGAAATACTCATTCAGATGCCATTGCTTTGGAGAGGGGTGTTCGCCAGGGGAGTATTCTGGGAGCTATTCTGTTCTCAGCTTATACAGCTTCCCCACATTTCTTAAATCTTGTCAATCTCGTGAATACGCCGATGATACTCAGTTATATTTACCTTTTGTAGCTAGTGAAGCTTTAAATGCCGCTACTAAAATAAATTTAGATCCAAAAATAATTTCGGAGGTATCCGCGGCTCACAACCTCTTATTGAATACTAACAAAAGGCAGATGTTATTATTTGGAAATAAAAGGGAAGATATTGTAAAAAACGCTTCCTTTAAGATTACACTAAGTGATGAGATTATCTCTCCTTCTTCAGACGGGTGTCAAAATTTATGGTTATGGTTTGACGGTGACTTGCGGTTTTATAAGCATGTTGGCTTGGTGTTACAAAATTCCTTCTATAAGTTGAGGACATCGTACGTTCAGTAAAGAAGTCAAACTTAAACTCTGTGATATGTTAGTTTTATTCCATGTCGCTTATTGCAGAATCGTCTATTGGCCAGCTGTACTTAATCGAGATAAGGAGAGACCCCAACGACTTCAGAATGCTTGTATTCGTTTTAGTTACAATCTCAGAAAGTACGACCATATTTCACATTGCCTCTCTGATTCGGGTTGGCATAAGCTGGAGGAAAGTTCAGTTAGCCACCTTTGTTTTTGTACTAAATTCCAATAAGACACCGTCATTCTTGTTTGATAAATTTTGTTTAAGATATTGCGTTCCTAGACACACTTCGGTAACTTTGCAGAGATCTTTTAGCTACAACGTCCCTCCCCACAATAAAGTTCTTCAAAAAAGCGTTAATATTGTTTATTTGGTCCGCCAGTATCTAGCAAAAGCGTATGACTTTATGATGTGCGTCTATTTCTTGTACTTACCATGTAGGTATATACGGGTGTGTATTTTGTTGTCAATTATGTTGTTGGTGCTGTTGTTCTTGTGGTTACTTGGAAGAGCGCAATTTGTGAATGTCGCCATTCTTGTATTATTACTTATATTGTAATATTTCGATTTTCAATAAAGATAGTTAGATTATTATTATTATTATTATTACAATCAATGTCATCAGAGTGTCATAATTTCAATTTCAAATTTCTCTTAATATTATGTACATCGGCTATTATTTCAGTTTGTTTAATTTATAATTGTCAAATTAAAAAAATGCTACTTAAATGACGATAAAAAGAATTTTTATACATTTTTTAAGTGTTGCAATAGGAATAAAATTAAAAATTTTAGTTTTCATTTTGAATAATTTGGGATAGTATTTAAAGTTATTGAATAAATAATCATATTAAGGAACAGTAAGGAAAATATTAATATTTTTCAAACAACAAACTTTTTTCTATCCTAGTAGTTACTGTTTTATTATTAAGTGATAACATTTAATTCCAAACAACGTTTGTTTATAACATTTTAAAATAAGGGTACTTTACTTTTGTGCAATTTTCGTATTTTTTATATCATTTGCTGTACAAATTATAGCTCAAAAATTGGGAGATTTTATTTAACACAATTTGAAATGTTCATTACGGAAGCTTGGGAAAATAACATTTGACAGATGATTGCTTTTCATAGAATAAAATAATGTTCATTATAGTTTTTATGTATTTTTGTCTATATTTTATTCTTGATTTGATTCTAGATCCCATAATAAAAAAGGCCAATTTTAGTTTTCAACTGTAAAAAACACATTTTTCGCAAAGACCTGGTTTTCCCAAAAACTGTTATGTAATGACGACAAATACTCAAAATCAAGAGAATCATTAGAATTTTACAATTTACGAAAATAAAATTACTGGTATAACGGAACACCCTGTATACATTTTTTTGCAGAAAAAACTCTCGACAGGCCCATAATATTTTGTTTTTATAAAAATGTATTTACTTGTTTGGTTTTTTCCGTCCCGTGAGGTTATTTTTTAACGGATTTTGAAACTTTTGGTATCAAAATGTTGCAAAAAAAGTACCGGTTTCAAAAAGTTCTTGTTCCCACTAGGATGCTATTTAAAATAATTACATTATCCGACGAAATTAATTGTTCATTACATTAAATGTCATTTGCTATTAGACAAGTAAAGAGAAGTTTCATTTACAACTTTTCCCATGATCATGATATGAAATGTTCTATTTAAAATGGACCCTAAAATCGATCCCTTAAAATATCGAAATTCAATTAGAAAAAACCCTCTATATCTGGGCATAAATAAGCATACACGTAAACTTTATCAACAGTTTTTCAAAAACTATGAACAAAGAATATGGAAGTATAAACTTACTCAAGCGTAGATTGCCTGTTCTCTTGTCTAAAGTTTGTGTGCCAAAGGGAATTTCTTTTGCCTTATATTTTGTATGGTCAACAAGCTGTTCTTTGTGTATTTTTATTACCCTGTAACTTGTTGAAAAACTAATTAACATATATCAAAAACCGGTTCCAATAAAACTGGGGAATGACAATTTGCGTCACACTAACCGAAAAAAAAATTACGATTTACTTCCAGTACCATCATATAATTAATTAGCTCTAGAGTAGAGTTTAGTTACACTGGGGCTCAGTATTGTCCCCAACATTATTACAAATTCTCTACGTACAGACTTCATCGCGAATACAAACATCATTCTCAATTCCGGATATAATCAATAATTGTAGTCCTTATGATTACAGGCCTCTTTGTACATACATTAATAGAAAATGTTGGGTTTTCCCTTAACGTATTATTAAGGAAAACGCACATTGGCGTCGCTAAATCTTTTTCCCAACGTTTTACTGCAAAATCACCGTCCTTTTCAGCATACATCTCATGTGTTGTTTTCAAGCAAATGACATACTTGGTCAGCAACAACAGGTAGAATATGTAAAAAAACTTAACAATTAACGAGGTAATAACCGTCTGAGTTACTAATTATCTGAGCGGCTTTAAAGGCGATAGAAAATGAGAGATTCCAAAAAGTTCGGAATGATTGTTTTAGATTTTCTTGTAATATTAGAAAATGTGACGTCATTGCAAACAGAAGCTTAGATCTTACAAAAATCAAATAGTGCTGATACATTAAAAGTCATCAAATTGTATCAACAATATCAGATCCTTTGGATATAATGTGTTTGGACACCACTGACCACACTACACCGCTAAGGCGTATATAACGTATAAGAGTGGCGACTTCCGCATCTGTTAGAAAAATGAAGGTGGACAACTATTTCACTCACATCAGGAGACTGTTGATGGTGATCGGGATCTGGAGAGTGGAAGATCCCGACACATCAATTCTCCGCAAACGGATCTATCGAGTCTACTCGGTATGTTTCCAATCATTGTGCTATTCCGTAATATTCTCTTTGCTAGCGGAAATTCCATCCTTGTTAAAATCCGACCGGACGGCTGGTAAGGGCGTCCACCCATCAAAAAGGCCCACCCCTCGGCAATGATTTCGTTGTAGCGGTGGACAACGGGAACAGGTTCATCATGTACACGTCTCACATCGTGTTTAAAATGATAGCGTGGCAGTCCAAGCGAATGGTAGCTCTGCTCGGGGTCCTCTTTCGGCAAAACCGGGAGATGCAAGCAGCATCTCTTATCGACCCCCAAATACGTCGGTTGTATCAAAGACACGCGAGGTTCAACTACAAAATAATGTTCGTCTTGTTCGGCGCCGGAACCGTTTTAACAGTTAGCCTCCCCGCCGTAGGTAAGTTACTGCCTAACCTATCCATAGCAAGGTGTTATTATCATCCATTTCTTTTAACGCAACATTATGATCCGATTGGAATGATATTTTTTGCATTGTAGTTCTTTGACAATGTCATAGTTTTCACTGATAATGATAAAAAGGGGAAGGTGGGGCAGGGAGGCCAAAACTAACCAAAACTAACCAAAACTAGCCTAAATTCAGAGCTTTTAAATAAGCCTTTTTTTATTAAATGATTTTTAATAAATAATTAAAATTATATATAACATAACAAAAGCTTCGTTAAAATTTGGGTAAATTTAGTGAAGAATAAATCGACTTGACGGTTAAAAGCCACAAAAAAAATTAAAAGCTTAAGTGGGCGGCCCCTACTAGCACCCGAAACACATAGTAGTCGATATTAGAAGGTAGCTCTATATTTCCTTTTTTGGTTTACTTCACTATCTCTGTTATTGATAGAGACACGCCGCTTTCTAGCGTAACATGTTTTCATAGATTTTATGGTTCAATACATTCATTTTTAAATGTAAAGTATGGGCTATCGAATTTTTCCGACATTTCAAACTATATATCAATATCAAATACCGAATAAATGAAAACAAAATTAACGAGTAACTTTTTTTAATTAACTATTTAAAATATTAACATTACTTATGAGACATTTTTTTGGAGTAAGACTGTGAAACGAAAGTAAAAACAGAAAAACAGAATAATATTAATGGATATTATAATATTATCAGTTTTTAATTGTATTTTGGCGAACATGATTCCATTCTACAATTATTGCATTCACCAATTGATTCTGGTTAGTGGTATCTATCTTTTTAGAGCATCAATGGGATTTAAATCGAGGCTGTGAGGTGGAAATGCCATCAATGGAATAGCTACATAGTGCTTGTAGTCTATAACTTGTCTAGCCAGGTGGGAACGAGTATTATCCTGCATAAATAAACTACTCGGTCCGAAAAAGGGAACAAATGGCATTACATGTCCATTGACATTGTTTTCTAGATATTGCTCGGCGTTTATTGATCTTACACGAATATGTGCGTCATTTGAAACATGCTCCTCTCCAAAACATACAACTTGCAAATCTCTCTCCTGCCCTTCGCAAAACAAGTTCACGCCCACCAGGAGAATTGAGATTAGTTCTCGTTTTATCAGAAAATAAAACCGTCTTTCTGAGCAATTGTTTTTTTAGACAAACCAGCCTCATTTAAACGTCTTCTGTTATGATCATACATTAGATGTTTTCGTCCGTGTCTTGGCCTTCGAGAGTAAGATCCTGTCCCGGTAAATCGCTCATCCATATGACTTATAGTCGAACGGTGTCTTCCTATCACATTGGCAACATGACATATTGGATGAACCTTATCCACAAAAGTTAAAGCTCTTACTGCTTCTGGAGTTAATTTTTTTGACCAACTCATTTTTCAAGAATAAAATAATCATCGGACAGCTGGGTAAACGGGAATAACGTTTAATATCTGTTGACAAATCCCATTACAGAGCCCGCTTTAGATTTAACATTGGATGTGGTGTTTACAAAAACATGATAGGCTATAGAACGGTGTATCTTCTTGAATTACAAAGATAATGAAGTAAACCAGAAAAGAAAATGTTGGATTAAGAAGGAGCTACCTTCTAATGTCTACCTTCTAATATTTTTCGGTTGCTAGAATACTCCACAGGATGATACAAATTTTGGAAAAACACGTAACATGAACTTTTTATCATTATCAGCGAAAACTATGACATTGTCACGAAACCAACATAGACTACAAAAAAAATCATTCAAATCGGATTATAAATTCAGAAAAAAAAAGCATCAAACAACAATAATTTAAAACAAACAAAAACATTCTATGATCTTTTTGATTCTTATCAACTTAAATCATTGATAAGTGACCCAACATGAATATATATAAACAAATTTATATATATATATATATATATATATATATATATATATATATATATATATATATATATATATATATATATATATATATATATATATATATATATATATATATATATATATAATACGATACGATAGATAAGACATATGATAGATATGTGATAATAAATGCAAAATTCACTTCTCACCATTTTTGTATCGGGTTGTATTGGGTTTTGACCCACCATATATAATGTAGGTTTCAGTACCGTAGTAATAACAATTTAATTGAAGCTATATTTTATTCGGGAAAAATGACGAAAATAATTATTTTCTCGAAAACCGCTGAAATTTCAACATTGATGCTACTTTTTCGAAGAAGCGGCAACGTCGCAGCGCACTTTTTTTTTTCGCTGTACTTAGCAGGTGTAATTGGAACTCCATACTGAAGCAGCATATTATTTATAGATGTGACCTGATATAGAAATAATATAATGTTTTCATGGCATTGATATTTGAGACATTTCTTGTACTGCGCCTAACAAACCCCCACATGTGAAGTGATTACATTATCGATATGGACTGGAAAATCTAAGTTGGATTTTAATAGCACGCCCAAATCCCTGATCTGATTCACGGAACCCAATACTAACCAAAACTAACCAAAACACAAACTCTCTAGACATTATGGAATCTAATAACAATTGCTGTGGCACCTTTGCATCAATCTATCCAGGTCTTTCTGGAGTGGTCTTTTTGTTATTCTTAAGAACAGTTTCAGATCGTTAGCAAAAAGAAACAAATATTCAATAGTGGGGGGCCCCGGTGAGAGTCCTGGGGGACACCCAAAGAGATTAAGATCTGAGATTGCAAATTGTTCAAATGAACCATCGGGGCCCTTCCAGTGATGTATATCCAGCTCAGTAAAGTACTGGACACACCCAGGATTCAGAAAGAAGGTTCAATTCGGTAGATGAGTCTGTCTTGAAACCGAACTGCCCGTGAATGATGTCAGATCATAAGAACGGTAGTTAACCACATTAGCTAAATAACCAGAATTGATACTACAAAACTTGACTTCCATACCTACACCAGGAAATATGCTCACCAGAAGTGACTTGTTAAAGATGATATACAGAGGTATACAGATAAGGCAACGGTTTTTGAGAAGTGGAGGGTGAACCTTATTTGGTTCCAGCCCTTTATCAGGGTTATGAAGTTGTGCGTTCTATATTCTCCTAGTTTTGGTGAGAAAATATCTACACACACTGCAGAGAAAGTGACCAGAGTTAATTTAAGCATCCACAAGAAATGTCTAAACGTCCTTATAATTTTCTAAACCGCTAGACATTAAATGCGTATATCGTTTTGCAGAATAACAAAAGAAAGTGTTCTACGTGCCAAGCGCGGGGTTGGGTGCGGCTCAAGGAAATATCTTAATGGAGACGATGCCTCCTGCTTACTATTTTATATTCGAAATTTTGTCCCCTGTGTTCCTGTCGCTTTAAGGATGAAGCTGGATCTGAACATTAACAATCTTCTTATCGAAAATTACTTTACTATTTAATGGCGACATTTGGGTCTCTTCAGAGTATTCAAAAATGAAATATGAAAATTAAATTATACAAAACCTAAAAAGTCACTTTTTTCAAAGAAAAAACCGTATTTTTGATAAAGGTTGTCTATTCCGGAAATTTATAGTTTCCGAGATAAGTGACAATTGAACAATTGTAATAATGCTAGAATATGGCTTTGTTGTTATTAATTTTGTTACTGGTGTATCGATTAAACATTATATTGTGATATAACCAAAGAGTATGTTTCAAAACTTCTTGAATGGTCCTGCACATTTTAGAACTCATGGAAATTTACGAATTCCTGGTATCGTCGGAGAAGGCCAACGTCACAGAGAAGCCCCTGCCTCTCAGGTTCTGGTACCCCTTCGATAGAAACAAGCACTACGTGGTCGCCTTGGTGGACCAAGGTATTAGACCCACGCTAAGTTGTTTTTGCGCAAGTGTGACGAGCGCTTGTCTGAACTCACTGGCCATATTCGTCAGGGCTCAGTTGAAAATGTTGCAGTACTATTTCCAGTACTTCCACCAGCGCGACGAGGAAGCTTTCGTCACTCTGAAGAAGTTGTGCGTCAGGCATCAACGCTTGATAAAGTAAGTGGTAGTGAAATTTTATTAGCTCTCGGAGCTCGTGCGATCAGATTTACGTTACCTGGTCCACTAGTGATTTGTAGAATAGATTTAGGCAAATTGGAGCGACATTACCACATGAATGAAAGAAAATGCCAATTTGGCCTATAGGTTCTGCCTAAATAAAACCATGCCAGGAAGTATTAGAACTATTACAATACTAAGGGGTGTTTTTTTTTTGTATAGAACTTTAAGTTGCAATAAAACAACGATGGATTATTCGATTGACATGAATTTTATTTATCCGAAAGACAATCTAGTGGCGCACCAAACAGTCAGTTTTTCTGGATGTAACGGTGTTTCGACATACACTTGAGGATTAGCTTCGCTCCAAATGCGGCAGTTTTGTTTGTTGACGTAGCCATTCAACCAGAAGTGCGCTTAATCGCTAAACAAAATTCGCTTATAAAAATCGGGAACAACGGCAATCTCATTTTGGGCCCATTTGACGAATCTACGCCTTACTTGATGATCGTTTGGCTTCAATTCTTGCACGAGTTGTATTTTGTAAGCACGTAAACCAAGATCCTTCCGCAAAATCTTCTATAAATTGGATGGACACAGATCCAATTCCTGTGCTCGAGTCTTCCTCAATGCTACGCTCTACAGCAGCAATAGCTTCTTCTGTACGCACCGTACGGTGCCCCTGGCGATGCGAGTTATCAATAAGAGTAAAGGTGGTGCGAAAACGTTCCATGGTTAATCGAATTAACTGCTCTGATGGACGATTTTATCAACGATAAAATGGACGTAGTGCACTATTTGCAAGCGTTGTTCAGTTGTTGAGTCTATTCATGATGAATTGCCAAACCAAACTGAGAATAAATCACTTGACAGCTGTTAAATCGGTCGCCATCTTGAACAGAATTTCCAAAGATGTTTACAATGTTTTGAGTGAATACGGCCTTGTTAAAATTGCGTTTTTTTTTCATTTGACGTGGTGACCTCATTGTGTATTTCCAATGTTCTTCAATTTTAACATTTAAAGATTTTTTGTGTCTATAATGTATGAGTCACCACATTCGCAGGGTATCTGGTAGACACACTCTTTCTCTCGAGTCGATGTCTCTAACTTTGTTCTTGTAAGTATGTTCCTTAATGTCCTTCCGAATTGAAATATAGACTTAACTTTGTATTGTTTCGCTATTGGACTGGGCTCTTCTGATCTGGTCATCAATTATATCACACGGTTCTGCTGTTGCTTTCCGTTTACAATTTGATAACGTATTGTCAATACAAAATGAGTGTAGCCATTATGAAGCAAATCCTTTTTAATGCTGATTATACTAGACATCTGGAAATTAAGTGGACAGTAGCAAATAACTAAGATGGTTGAGAAAGAAGTCAGATCCTAGGTTTAACAATGGTCGCATCTATATCTGTAAGTTTCAAAGCATTCTATGTATACATTCGCTATCAAATGGTGTGAAGCTCGGGTTGTCCACAGGGAACCGAATTGGAAAAACCTGTGTTTATTAAAGATAATGGAAACATCTTTAGCAATTCAAGCGTGAAGATGCCTATAATCTTGCAACCCTGAATAAAACGAACCAATGTTGGCGTCCCAGCTGAACAACATTAACTCACACTTGACTGCACCCGAGCCTTAGAATTAACTTGATAGCGGCTAGTGATAAATCTACATACATAGTATTTTTGGAAGTTTTTTTGAGAAATTCAGTTCTGGTTATGGTTTATTCCCAAATTTGTGCTTACTTACAATTTCTAATCTATAATTTTGAATAACATTTAGTTCAGATACACAGATACGCAAGTCTTTAAATTTCAAAGAAACTTCTACAGGCTACTGAGACTTAACTGAAGCGAAACGTCAGCAAGTTCTATTTATCAACAACCAACTCATAAAAAATCTAGAAGATCTGTAAATAGTACACAAGCCTTTGTTACCTTAACAACCAGACTATTAACATGATTGGACCATTTAAAATTCAACAACGACATCTTAAAAGCATTTTCAGCTATACCTACAGTGGCAACCTTTCCATAAGCTCGCCCTAGGCTACTGAAGAAGGTGAAAGCGTTTATCCCGGTTCAACTCTTACAGTGCCCATTTGTGACCATCTAGTAGCAAGAGTACTGGTTTTTCCTCACTCAAAATGTTTTTTGAAATATTAGCATTGGTAGAACATACAGTCCACAGACCTTTGTGGCATTAACACCCCTTTCTGCGATTGCAATTCCACTAACTTGGCGTTTTCCTTTTTTGAAGCAACTTTCTGCATTTTTTCGTAAATTTATGTTGGTCCAATTTTTTTCCGGGTTCTGATATGTAATGAGTGATGATTTCAATGCAAGGGTGGACAACAGTGGCAAGTTTAGGGTTGCTGGTGGTGAACTGTAATTATTTACTTCGTTAATGTTAAGCCTCATTCTGGTCCATTGAGGTCTATAACTGCGTCATACTTTGATTTGTTAATCTTGATTGTAAACTAAATTCAGGTGAATCCCAGGTGCTTTAGGGTGGAAAATTGATTTTAGATGCACCATCGAGTTCAGCGAGTCACTGAAATACATAGCGCTGATGGATTATACAGTTTGCTCTGCTACATTCGCGTTGCTGGTCGTTCAGATCACCATCGTAAGTGATAGTTACCCTAGATGGTTCGGACTTAAGTCATTTGTTTCAGGGCAAAGACGTAATAACTAGTTTGGCCGTTTTATCGTTTATCACGCTCCAGTTGATAACTTTTTCGTGGAACTGCAACGAAATTATACTGCAGGTGATTGTGATCGTACACCGCAGCAGGATTTTAACAAAGTCTCGACATTTTCAGAGCACGGAGTTGACGAACGCACTTTACGAAAGCGACTGGTACGATCAGAACCAGAATGCGAAAGTGCTGATCCACATAATGATGATGCGGTGCCAGCGACCTCTGAGTGTGCATATGGGTTGGCTGGGGGTGATGGATTTGGAAGCAGGAATATCAGTGAGCGTCGATGGAAAAGGTTCCACAAAAACGGAAAGAAAATTTTAATTTTTCAGAGGCTGAAATTGGGTTATTCATACACTTCGATGGCGAAGAACTAATACTGGTTTCAAACGAGACGGTTATTGAACGTAGCCACTTAAATGAAGAATCTCAAAAGTTAACGAAGACCAAATTTTAATCCCATAAAACACTTTTACTGTAAATCAATTTTCACCAGCTTACAGATTATGATCCTACCATCTATATACAAATACTGATCTTTATCATATATATCTTGTATATTTTATATACCCAAAAAATATGTAAAATAAAAATAATTACACGTTTTTCAGATTTATTTATGAAATACACATTTTTTATATTATAATTCAATATGGTGACAATATATTCCAGGATATCATCCGTTCGTTTGTTGGACTCGGACTGAAATCCTGCAGACGTTTCGAGATCGAGATATTGAAGATCTCACTTCAGATCTTCAATATCTCTTGGGTATTCGGTCCCTCGAAAACAATTAATGTGATTCTTCTAAATATTTATTAACGTTTCGATCGTAATTTCGATCTTTTTCAAAATAATCCTATTTTGTATAGATGACATTTGACGTTGTGTTAATATATTAAAAATAAAAATAATTTATCAGTGAATATTTTATACGGATTGGAATGGCATGCAAAACAGGTACGGATGTTTTTTATTAGTAAATACATTCGATAATTTAATTTTGTTAGTTTAAAATTGAATGATATATTTTGTTAAGGTTTTTAGAATAATACCTATTGCGAGAACACCAAACACACGTTTAATTTGCAAAACCAGAACTAACAGGACCTAACACCAAAAAACGAGAACTTTATAAAAGTATAGAAATATATTATTCAATTTTGAACTAACAAAATTAAATTATCAAATATATTTACTAATAAAAAACATCCGTACCTGTTTTGCATGCCATTCCAATCCGTATAAAATATTCACTGACAAATTATTTTTATTATATATACAAATATCATCTATACAAAATAAGATTATTTTGAAAAAGATCGAAATTACGATCGAAACGTTAATAAATATTTAGAAGAATCACATTAATTGTTTTCGAGAGACCGAATACCAAAGAGAAATTGAAGAAATTATATATATATATATATATATATATATATATATATATATATATATATATATATATATATATATATATATATATATATATATATATATATATATATATATATATACATATATATATATATATATATATATATATATATATATATATATATATATATATATATATATATATATATATATATATATATATATATATATATATATATATATATATATATATATATATATATATATATATATATATATATATATATATATATATATATATATATATAATGATGACACTATACTCCGGGATATCATCCGTTCGCTCGTTGAACTCCGACTGGAATCCTGCAAATCCTGCATCCGACTGGAATCCTGCAGACGTTTCGCCAAAATCTCACTTGGCATCTTCAATGCTCGCGCTCCGAAAGTGTTCGAAGTGTTTTCGGAGCGCGAGCATTGAAGATGCCAAGTGAGATTTTGGCGAAACGTCTGCAGGATTCCAGTCGGATGCAGGATTTGCAGGATTCCAGTCGGAGTTCAACGAGCGAACGGATGATATCCCGGAGTATAGTGTCATCATATATATATATATATATATATATATATATATATATATATATATATATATATATATATATATATATATATATATATATATATATATATATATATATATATATCCACACATATATCCGTTCGCTCGTTGAACTCCGACTGGAATCCTGCATCCGACTGGAATCCTGCATCCGACTGGAATCCTGCATCCGACTGGAATCCTGCAAATCCTGCATCCGACTGGAATCCTGCAGACGTTTCTCCAAAATCTCACTTGGCATCTTCAATGCTAGCGCTCCGAAAACACTTCGAACACCGGAGCGCGAACATTGAAGATGCCAAGTGAGATTTTGGCGAAACGTCTGCAGGATTCCAGTCGGAGTTCAACGAGCGAACGGATGATATCCCGGAATATAGTGTCATCACATTTTTCCATCCGTGAATCAATACGTGAGAATATATATATATATATATATATATATATATATATATATATATATATATATATATATATATATATATATATATATATATATATATATATATATATATATATATATATATATATATATATATATATATATATATTAGCGTGTTGATTCTTGGGTTTTAGGTCTGTGTATAACAAAAGTGCTCAAAAAGTTGTTAGTTTATTGACGTTTCGGTTATTCATGACCTTTCTCAGAATAATTAGTGTAAAACAAGTCCTCTACAAAACGAAAAAAGGGGGGAGAGCATCAAGTATCATTAAAACGTTCAAAAATACAGTGGGTTGTTGTCGTGTATTATTATCTAAAAAGGTCTTTACGTTTTAGTTTTGCCAAATTTGGTAAAATTTAAAAGGCTTACCACTCTTGTGAAATCCAAATGCATGTCGATATGTCGATGTTTCCCGTTTTTTTTGTGTTGTTTTCGCTTTTTAAGATCTCAACCCTATCAAAATTAAAGGAATGTTTCATCTCCGTACAGTGACTCTTCAGCGCAGTAGTATTTTTTTTATCATATTTGTGACCATTTGTTCTGCTTTTGAGGTATTAGCTTGTCTGACCGACATACACACATGACAACATAAACAACATGACTTCTTTTCCCATCCGGCATTTTGTCTTTTAGTTTTCAATAGTTGTTCTTCATTAGATTAAAACCCTTGTGAGCAACAGTAATGTTGTGGTTTGCGAAATTTTTGCTAAATTTTTCTGACATACACGGGATATAGGGAAGAGACAAATAGGTGTTATTTTGTTTTTCCTGTTTTCTAGAATGTTTATGGTTTTCGTTGTAAAAAAGATAGACGCGTTTTTTGAAGATATTGTTGACTAGTGTTTCGGGATAATGATTTAGTTTGAGTGCGAGTTTGGCTTTTTCGAGATTTTTTTTGGTGGAAAGGGTGCTTGGAGTAAAAATTGACATATCTGGAAGACCAGGTTTCTTTGGTGTACCAATCTGTTCTGATTTCTGTTTGTTTATTGTGCAGTGTCAAGTCTAGAAAATTTATTTTGTTTTCGGATTCTATTTCTATTGTCAATTGGATTTTAGGGTGATAACTGTTAAACAGTTGAAGGAATTCGTTTTGTTTGTTTTTGGGAATGGCTGCAATGCAATCGTCTACGTATCTATAGAAAAATGGAATATCAAAATTGGCATTATCCAGGACCGATTCTTCCAAATCTTCCATGACAATTTGGGCTATGGCGCTGGAAATTGATGCGCCCATAGCACAGCCGTCTATTTGTTGGTAAAACTTGTTATTGTATAAAAAATATGTTGAATTTAATGTCATTTCAATTGCTTCTACAAAGTCGCTGAGCGGAATGTCTGCAAAAGTTTTGATTTTGTCCCATTTTTTGGCGATAACTCCTTTGGCAGTGTTTACTGGGATGTTTGTATATAGGGAAATGACATCCAGTGAAATTAGGGTGTAATTTTTTGAAATGGAAATATTTTTAATTTTACTTTTAAAGTCGTTCGAGAAAGCTTTGACTGGCATCACTTTATTTTGACATTTTTGTCATTTTTATTTAACTCACACAGCATTTCGTTGATTGAATTTTTATTATTTCCTGTGATTCCGCTCTTTGCTTCTTGCTTAATCATTCGACCTTCCAAAGACAATGAGTCCGAAAACCAGCTACTGTTATACTTAATTACGTTCCAAACATACACATATCAAAAATTCCTAAGTAAAATAACTTCAAAACCAGATTTAGCACTTGTCCAAAAATCTCTCAACATTTCTAAGAAAAAGTTTCGTTTGTTAGGTACCCGGAGTTTACACCATATCGAACTTAAAGAACATTAAGATTACGACAAATAAACTCCTCAGCAGTTGCATGTATTCATAGAAATCTATAAGGAACCAAAACATCCAAGACAATGTTCATGCCCTTAATTTAGCTCCCTCAATATATAAGCGGGCGCAGAGTGGAATGCGATCCAGTTACATTTAGGGTCTGAAGAAGCCAACAGGATGATTGGAGAAACGTCAGCAAGTAAAATTTATAATTAAACAACACATGAGGTTCCAGATCCAGAAGATTTGTAAATAGTGTGGAAGTTTCTTTGAAAAATAGATTGTTGATAGATTGTTCGTTATTTGTTTACTTTTTGGTTTTTTTGGTTTATAGTAGGTATATCTGATGTAATGTAATTCGTTATCACCAACAAATAATTAAATAGAACGACTCAAAAAGGCCTTTAAAGTTTACTTGTATTTCTGATAAAAACGACCGACGACTCTCCGTAATTAAAAAGCCCCGTTTGAAAATTAATAAAACGGGACACGCCCACTCGCAATTAAACTGCAATTTCAACTGACGCTGTGACGACGTCGAAACATAACGAAGGGCGAGCAAGATAACTTTGTTTACATGGCTGATTCACAGAACGCGAGTCTTATAATTGCAAATGTATTAATTGGGGTTGTTAATAATTGAATGTTCCGCCGCGAACATGCGTCCCTCGTCATGGAGTAACCGTTTGTTCTGCAATTCGATAAAAGCCGATATACAGGGTGAGTCAAAAGTCGCGGAATCAATCCGGAATTATCGCATGTCTACAAAATTAAACTTTTTGACATATTTTGTTATTTTGAAAACTGACTTTACATAATTTTGGTAGGCTGATTTCACAAATTCGATGCTTTTATTTGCACCACGTACGGTGTTTTTGCAAATATTATAGAAAAAGAAAAGAAATCACATTTCAAAAATAATTTATTTTTTTATTCTCTGATTCTGACGATATCACGTTTTCTAGTTGTTTTTGGGGTGGTCGGTATAGGTACATCCGGTCCATGAGGAACTGATCGAATAGCAGAATTAAGATTGGTATATACAATTCGTCTCTTATTTTTTCTGTTGAACCTTTGAAGATTACAGAAACAAAAATAGCAATCATCACTGTGATTTCTAGGCTCTCGCTCTCGCTCTCGCCTTAGTTTGCCATTGCTTTACTGCGAAATAACTACCATATAACAAAAGTCATTTGCATTGTTCACACAATGTCTCCTTTCCAACGAAGACAATACAACCAAACTACGCATAAGCAGGTTTCAACTCTGTGTTGACGCTTCTGCGCCAACTCTGTTGCTTTACAGAGAAATCTAATATTATCCAGTGTTGCCAAATCACCTTT